TCTTAACAAAATTAAAATATTTTAAAAATATTTAATTATTTAAAATATAAAATATTAATTTAAATTAAATTTTAAAAATAATTTTGAATTATGTATTTGATGAATAATAATTATATTTCAAATTAAATTTTTAAAAATAAATATAAAATTATAATTTAAAAGCACAAAATAAAATAATAGGAGAAAAATAATCTGCACAACAAGTGGAGCCTAAGCTTCTCGTTTCTTTCTTCTGACCAAAAATAAAATAAAGCTTTTTTCTGTGGGTTCCAATTCTGTTGAATTGTTCGGATTTACAGTTTGCAAACGCAATCAAAGATAATAACATTGCATTTTTCAGATCAGATCGAACCATGTAATTTGGTTTTGTTGAATTCGGATCAGATCGAGTTTGAATTCAATATATTTCATTGCAGAAGCTTCATAGCTTTGGGTGAAATCGAAATCAAAATCAAAATGGGGTTTTCGGTGACAAGCCTAATTTTTGTCGCGATCGGATTCATTGTTTCTCTCTGTACCAGAATCTGTTACAACAAAGGTCCTTCTGCAAATCTGTACGTTTCAATTCTTCAATTTCTCTCTCTCGTAAATTGGATTGGATTCTGAACAGTTTTGGATTTATCCAATTTGAAAGGCCATAATTTTGGACTTAGGTTTTAGTTCTTTTTCTTATGAATTGCATTTAGAATCACCAGGAAGGAACCTAATTTTTTGTTGATACAATCTTTTTCTTTTCTTTTCTTTTTTTGTTATTTCAGAATACAAATCTTTTTTTAATTTTGTTTAAGGAGGGAACTAGTGTACTTATGAATTTGGGAGGTACTCAGTTGATTGATTGTTTCATAAGATTCTAAAGAACATTACCCAGTGTTGGTCCCAGTAATTGAGGATGTTGGGATGGGTAACATTGGAAGAAGACTCAAACCTGCACTGAGCAATGCCCCTTTTCTTTCATATATTTCTGCAAAACTAATATTGAGATGTGAAATGTGTCTGGAAAATATGAAGTAAGAAATCTTTGTTTCTTTCATGTGACTTGAAAAATTAGAAACAAAATCCCCTGTTAAAAAAAAGTTTAAAAACATTGAACCTTTTAATGCATATAATATGATGTTCAACTAGCTATTGGGCTGATTGAGGCTGGCTAAGCTAAGGTTTTGGATATTTTGTTAATATCAGGTGAAGATATTCTAGTAATATTTTTTTAGTTTTTGAACTCCTAAACTTTCAATTAAAGAGGATAATGGGAAACATCAGAACTAAGTATGGAAACAAGAGGAGCAGGTGGGCATACAGCCCAATTTACAGGTAAGGCCTTAGAAAGACAAGCCTTGGCAACCCAGTGTACTGCTTCATTGTTGTTTCTGCTTGTCCAGGAAAAAGATAAAAGAGTGTGAGGAAGCAAGTCCTCGAATGTCCAGGATAATGGCAGTATACTCCCATGGTGGAACTGTTTCAGAAACGCAAAGAGAGATCACCGATTTGTTGTCGCTACCGAACCAAACAGCTTTTGTCCAAGGGCAATCAAACAGGAGATGCTCCACAGATTCATCATCTTTCCTGCAGATAGGACATTCACCAGAAGATGCACAGTTACGCCGAAACAAACCCAGCTTTGTTGCCGACAAATTATGACACACTCTCCACCAAAAGTGACGAATTTTGGGAGGGATATCAAGAGCCCAAATGGAATTCCAAAAATCTGTACTAAGGGTGAGAGATCTGGAGGGCTTATTAGAACCATTGGAGTTGTGGCATATCTGCTTTGCTAAGGCATAGCCTGACGTAACGAAATAAACTCCCGATGGATTATGGTGCCATATTAAAAGATCATCTCTGTTAACCGCTGCAATTGGGATGGCAAGAACAGCCTCTAAATCTTCTGGCGAAAGCCACTCTTTGAGAAGTTCACGCTTCCATATTTTGCGATTGGGGTCAATAACTTCAGCCACTGTTTGAACAGTACAGTGAGGTGGTTTATGGGAAGCAATTTTGAAATCGTTAGTAGAGGGTACCCACTTGGCCTCCCAAAAGTGTGCAAGGTTGCCATTTTGGATTGATGGCAACCAATCATTTCCTAGAATGAATTGACCCACAGAGAAGTTGTAGGCCTGAGCAGAGTCATTCATGGTTTGGAAACCTGGCCACTTGACCCGGCTACCCAGTCCCACCCCTGGCCCATTGTTCATAAACTCACCATAGAAGAGGGTATCCAGTGCGAAATTCCCATTCCACTCTATCCACCCTTCCTGCCTTATGGCGTTGCTCATGTACGATTGCTTGATGACTGTTCGCGAGTAGAGCTTCCACGGTCGTCCAAGGTATGTGTACGTGGAGTTCAATGAAGCTAACAAATCTGGCTCCGCAGATATGTTGGAGAATTGGATAGAGAAGCCCGAGGACTCACTTGGGTCTTTACGGTCCTGGGCGGTTATGGTGTTCTTTTGATCAGGCAGGCCTAACCTGGCTAGGATTCGGCAGTTTTGGAACACGACAGTGCCGTCGCCAAATATGAAATCCACAGTGCCGGTGATCTGGCACTCTCTGTAGAATTGGCGCAAGGAGTGCGCGTAGAGTGTGTCTTGGTATCCCCTTATAGCACATCTAAACAAAACCGACAAGTCAGAGTCTGATCGGAATGCAACTGCTTGGTGCTTTTGCGGTCTTGCTGTGTTCTCGAATGTCATGTCACGTGCTATGAAGCCTTGGCCATTAACAGCTGGTCGCCCCAACAAAATAAAAATAAATTAGTTTATGGAAGCACATCTGATCCGATTAGTACTCATTACATTATTAGAGCTTGAATTACCAATTGTCCCAAGAGTTGGATGCCGGTATTCCATTCTACATAGCATGGAAAGCTCCAATTGCAATTGTATCTTCAACGTCCTTATTTTTGCCCATTATTTTTAAAATATAATTGTCCTATTATATATACATATAAAAATCGAATTGGATCATATTGAATTTTTATAGATGAATTCAAATTAAATGCAATCCATTGAGAAGGATTGTCCGATTAACTTGCTCCATTCGTGTTAGCTAAATATATATATATATAGATAATCTCCATCTTTCTCCATTTCTCTCTTCTTCAAAAATTTAAAAATAATTATTAGAAGTTGCTGGCTAGAATAAAAAAATTACTATTGAATGATGTCTTAAAAATGATTTCAAGTCCAAGGAGACGAGGGAGGCCACTTTTTGTACCACTGCGATGGTCAACCTCACTGAAATTGCAAACTCGGCGAATCTGGAGACGAGGGAGGCCACTTGTGGTACCACTTCGATGGTCAGCCTCACTGAATTTGCAAACTCGGTGAATGTGGAGACGAGGGTGGCCACCTGCTGTACGACGTCGATGGTGGACCTCACTGAATTTGTGAACTCTGAAATTGGAACCTTCACCAATTCTGATTCAACCAAATCAGAACTAGAGCTACCAAGTGAGGCTGACATACACACTACCACTGACAAAAACAACGGCAAGAAGATGGAGGGACGTGAAGGACCCATTTGATATGATATGTTTCGAAGGAGAAATGGGACGTAGCAAAGGGACCGTGTAAGGGTTTTAGGGAGTCTCTCAATAGCTATGGTTGGTAACTAAGATTGGAATCGTTGGTGTGTGTGAGAGAGAGAGAAGCTTTGCTTTTAATACTAGACTAGATGTATAATTTATGTATGAACATTTAAATATGAGCGGGAGAGAGAGAAACGTAATAAATAGAAAATGGGATATTACTTAAAAAATCTATGCATTATTACCTAAAAATAAATAAATAAATAAATAGAAAATGGGAAGGTGCCTTCAAATTTGGTTCTGTATGAAGCACTTTCCAAATGAATATCATTGACACTTCCTATTTTTTTGGATTTTTTTTTGGTATTTAATATTATTGATTTGTTATTATTTGGGTAAATTAAACTTTACCACTCTCAATAATAATAAATAAATTTATATTTCTAAAGGGCTCGTTTAGGATTTTCTAAACTATTTTAATTAATTTTAAAATTTTTTTATAAAAAAAATTTTAAACATAAGAATAATAATATGACAAAAGGGGTATAATTTTAGTCGGGCTTGGGCTAGGCTACCCACTACTCGGCCACACGGGGCTCCTACCTTTTTTTCGGACCAGTTCTGGGCTGAAAAGTGGGGCTCAGACTCAATCCCAATCCTACTCAGATTAGGGCCTAAGGCCAAGGCTCTGGCCCGGGTTGCGGGCCGAGCCTTTTTTTAGCAAAAAATAAACGATAAATATATTACATATATAGATTATTTATGAGGGATAAAAAAATAAAAGAAAATTTTTACTAAAGCATTTTAGTTAAGATTAATGAAATGTTTGATTATGTTTTATGTGGTGGTATTTAACTTTAATTATGTATGTCTTTTTTTTTTTCTTTTTTTGTGGTTATGACTAAAAAAGTATAAAATTTTGTAATTTTCTTCTTTTAAAATAAATAATTTTATATGTATCAAAATGAAACTTTCAATATTACAATCATTAGATTAAATAGATAACATTTATTGAATGAATAACTTTTCTTTCAAAATGAAATAAAATATTACAAAAATTTATATCATTAAATAAAATAGATGTAAATTATTGATAATGGTATATCAATTACATCACAATAGGTTAAATACATCCCAACTAGGTTGACACCTACTAGCCTATCAATCATTTGTATTATACTCTACCTCAATAATCTAATACCAAAAAAAGAAAAAAAAATTAAAATAGTGAAAAACAAATTGTTGATCAATCATTGGAGAAGGCATACAATTTACATGCGTTGTCCGAGAATATATCATCCAAATTACTTTGAATTCTTTCTTTCTTACTATAATTTTGTCTTTTTGTTAGCGCATGCATATAATTTTTTTATTCATTTCATAGAATAATGATATTTTCATATTTAAAAAGGTGAATTATTTGAATAATACACCGGTTTCGTTTCGAAAGTGCATTAGCTTTTTAATTTTTTTGATTATTTTAGCATAGGATTAAAAAGTCTTGTTTGGATTGGATTTTTTGATTTTTTTGAATTTTGTAAAAGAAAAAATGAAATAACTATGATTTGGATATGACATTTTATCTTATTAATTTTTTAATATATTTTATCATTTTATGACTATTTTAGTTTGGTAACCCCATGCCAAATGAGGGTACTGTAACAAAAGATTTACAAATTTACAAATTTTTTATAGGAGAAGGTTAGTCACACTAGGATGGCGTGTCATCTCCAAAAAATAATTATTATTGTGTTTGATGAAAAGATGTGGTAAAAAAAAATTATTATATTTAGATTTAACTTTAGAATAGACGTGTAGATTAAATATAATAATATATTTCAAGTCATGTGATTATTAATGTAGTATTTTTTGTTTAATTTTGGACGAAAATTAATTTTAGAAGTAAATTTGAAAAAGCTTGAATCATGAAGGGTCAAAATAAAAAATAAAAAAAAAACTTTAAGAGTCAAAATAAAAAAAAATTATAAAACGTTTTACACAAAATAGTAATAAATAGTAATTTATCTTAAATTATTTGTCGATTCAAATTAAATATAGGATTATTTACACAAAATTCCCATAAACTATTGCCAAGTATCACTTTGATCTCTTGGATTTAAAAAAAAAAAAAAATCACATAAACTAATCCCCTAAATTATTGATCTCGTAAAACTTCGGCTTTAACATAACACATTTAATTACCAAAATGTCTCACACCCCTATATCATTTTATTTCCTAAATTATTATGAAATATCATTTTATCCTGTTAAACTATTATGAGGTATCACTTTACCTTCATAATATATAAAAGTGTAGCATGAATCCCTTCAACTATTAAAATGTGACACATGCCCGGATGTCGTTAATGAAAACAACTAAATAACCAAATTACCCTCTTTTTTTATATGCACAAACTTTTTATAAGTCCATTAGAAATTATTAAAAAAAGAAAAAAATTAAAGATTCATCAAAAACCCTGACTTTATTGCCCACCTCCCCACCTTATTTCAAAAAAAAAAAAAAATCAATTGTTTTTAAATAAAATAAATTGCAATGATTTTTAATGGACTTCAAAATCAAAATACAAAAATATAAAAAGATCAAAATATAATTTACCCAATACTTCTCGTCGTCTATATGAGAGCATCTCCAATCTATCTTCTATATCTTCATATATGAAGAAATTTCACCTCCACTCATCCTCTAAAATCATCTCCATTTGAGAGGAGGATGGGTTGATCCTCCAAATATAGAGAAAGAATGAGAAATGGAGGAAAATCTCTATAAAACCATTCATTTTATATTTTTGATTGTATTATAAATAACTTTTAATATGTAAATTTAATTTTTATAAAATTGATATCATTAAAAAAGTATCATATTAATAACTTTTAATATATAAATTTAATTTTTATAAAATTGATATCATTAAAAAAGTGAAATCATATATTTAAAATGAGTATAGTATAATATTAAGACATTGTTTGTGGATGATTTAAATAAGTGTACTTATTCGATAAGTACACTTATTTAGGTTATATCATTTCTCTAATTTTTTTTATAAAAAATCAAAAAAGTGTAGAAAATAAGTAAATCCCAAACAACAAAAAATTATTGGTTGATATTAGGACACCACGTGATCACATCTCAGGTCAATCACAAATCCTCTTGTCTTCATATTTCTCAATTACTCAACATAAAATCGTAGTCCCACCCTCTCTATCAATAAGAACAGACTTGGAGTACCACATGGCTGTGCACCAAAACCAACGAAGAACTTCTACCAAACAATCTAGAAATGTATTTAACAAAAATTTGGAAATTAATTATTTATTAATGGACAAAAATTATTTACTTTTTAATAAAAATATCTTGAAAGGAAATGAAAATGGTGAATTGTAGTTGAAGTTTAAGTAAATAATAAGATACTCTATATTTATTTTTTAAATAAAATTTTATATTTTTATCCTCTAAGATGCTCTGAGCAAAGTGCAGAGAGAATTGTGATCCCACACGCGGGGCACCTTCATATTACGAGCCACCCTTGAAAAATATGGTGGAACAGGAACATCTCCTTTATTTTCGTTTTCTTTAGAGGCTTTTCTCAAAATAGGCCTACCTACTAAGTCATTTCCCAAATTAAGCCTAGTTTGGCGGAAACTTCCAGAATAAGCTCAGCATGTTTCTAGTCCAAGCGCACAAAATGAATAAAATCATAAAAGTGTGGTTATAAAACACGCTTTTAATTAAGAAAACGCTGTTCTTATTAGCGTTTTCATCTTTAAGTGAAATCGCGATTCGGAAACATGTTTGAAGAGAAAGCGAGATTTGTAACCACGCTTTTAAAAAAAATTTGCTTTCAAAAGAAAGCGTGGTTCGTAATCACGCTTTTAAAAGCCCCTGAAATTAGTAAAAAATTGTTTATTATTATTATTATTTTGATTGATTTCTCTTCAATCTATATTCTATAATTCACTCAGTCATCTTTTAGATCTCTATAAATAAATTATTCATATAAAATATCGTATTGATAAACAATCTTAGCTACCAAATTTTATTATTTTAATATTTAAAAATAAATTATGTAATTTTGAAATTATGTTTCGCATCCATTATTTTTTAAAAAAAGTGATAAAATTATATGTACAATTATCAGATCAATTTGATATTTACATAAATAATTTATGCTTAATTTTTTTAAAAAATAAACAGCACCAATTGTCTAAAGAGTAGTGATTAAGAGCTCTAAAACTAGAGTTCTGATTTAAGCTGTAATGATGTGGCATAAAAAAATAAAAAGAAAACCAGAAACAAGCAAG